GGGGGAGGGGTGGAAGTCTGTCTCACAGAACTCCCCTAAGTCCTGTTCCTTGCTCTCTGACCCCGCCCCAGATTATTTTTGAGGGGGTTCGAGGCTCGGGCTACCTGGGAGATATCGCCATAGATGATGTCACACTGAAGAAGGGAGAGTGTCCCCGGAAGCAGATGGATCCCAATAAAGGTGAAGACTGAAAGGGGGGTCTGAGGGGGGCTGTGTGGGTGGGCACCTGTGTCAGGGGAGGAGAGGGTTTGTGTCTGAGTGGGGGTTCCAGTGACTGGGTGACAGGCTGTGTGCATCAGTGACAAGGTTAACACTCAGGCTCCAGCCGAGCTCAGGCTCTGGGGCCTGTGTGGGACAGTGAGGAGAACAGACCCTGCCCTCCTGTGAGTGTGCTTAGCTGTCTGTACCACAGTGCCTCCCGTGCCTGTGTGTGTAGATCCAGATGTGAACATGTGCTCTCCCTTCCCCCCCCAGGAGGCCAGATGGTCGCCATAATAACAGTTCAAGTTTACTGAGCAATTACTATGTACCAGGCAAGATACAAAAGCCTGTATATGCATGAGCTCATTCAGTTCTCAAAACAGTCCTCTGGGGTAGCCCTTACTATTAGACTCATTTTACAGATGAGAAAACTGAGGCCCACTGAGGTCAAGTAAACTGCTCCAAGTCTTAGTGAGCCAAAGAGCCAGGATTTGGACCCCAGCACGCTGAGTTAACCCACACAGCGCACACCTCAAGTCTGGGCTGATGTGTGCCTGTGTGCATTGAGGGCAATGTCCACCTGTAGGCCCCCAGAGAGAGGGGGCAAAGTAACGGGCCCTCCCACCTCCCACAGCCTGCCTGCCTGCCTGCTACCCTGGTCCTCCTGAACTGACTGGAGCCCTGGCCTGTCTCCCCTCTCTCCTGTCGCAGTGGTGGTGATGCCGGGCAGTGGAGTGCCCCGCCAGCCCCACCCGCAGCTCTGGGGGCCCGTGGCCATCTTCCTCTTGGCGCTGCAGAGATGATGAGAGCTACGTGGCCCCCCACCCCGCCCCTGGCACACCAAAGTGTCTGCATCGTACCAAAGACTGACCCCCGCCAGCCGGGGTGCCTGGGGCAGGGCCAGCCCACCAGGGAGGGGCCCACGTTGGCTGCGAGGATGAGCAGAGAACAAGGACAGAGGCCCGCGCTGAGGCCCTGCAGACAGTTGTTCAAGACACGCACACATTCACACACTCACACCCACACTCACACAGAGATATATTAAAGCACAAGTTTCTACTCGACCTGCCAGCCAGCACCTTCTTTACTGCAGAGACAGGGGACTCACCTGAATGGTTTCTGCCACCCCAGGGACCTCGGCACCGTGCAGGCCTTGTCCAGGCTGTACCCATGGTGTTTCTGCTCTCACTCCATCCCTAACTTAAGGCTGAATTCCAGCCCCTGTGGCTTTACCAGAAAAGGAGCAGGCACAGGAGCCTTGCCCTTGACTGGACTCTGGGACTCCCTGGGATGGGGGAGGCTGGGGTCAGATGGGGCCAGGGGGACTTTGTGAGCTCTGTGAATGTCCCAATGCAGAGGACAAGGAAGGTGAGGCACCTGCTGCTTGCAACTCTGTTCCTGGGGCAAGGGCCAGAAGGTCACCTAGGTCCCCTGACCTGTTCCTGGGATGTCATATTCCCCCTTCTCTGTGCCCCCTTTGAAGGGACTCAGCATGGGGTCTTGGGCCTGGCAGTCTGAAGATTGGCACCTTCCCCTGCTACTCCACGTCCCGTGAAGCATCTGGATTCCTGAGCACACCGCCCCACCCCAGCAGGCTGGCCTAACCTCTGCCCCAGCGCATCTCCGAAGAGCCAGGGCAGTGGTGGCCAGGCCCTCTTCTGGGGTGAGGCTTGACTCTGAAAGGGGCAGAGAAGTCCCTTTCACAATTTGTGTCCCATGTCTGACACTGAACTTGGGAGTGGAGTGGAGCCTCCGTTTCTTTTGTACTTGGCATGAGGGTTGCCCGGGTTGGGAGGGTGCGTGTAGGGCGGCTGCCCTGCCCTCCTCCACTGGAATCGCTGTCCAGTGCGCCGCTCCCAGGGTCAGTGAAGGAGGAGGAGTCTGTAGAGCTGGGGTGAGGGTTGGGTAGTTGCTGGTCACCCTGCTCCCTGGGAGCTGAGCTCATGCCCCCAGCATCCTGTCCCTGGGCCCCGGGCCAGGAGCCTGAGTGGTGCATGATGGGATCTAGACCTCTCCTCCTCAGCATCGCCCCCGAGCCCCCACCCAGCTGACCGTGGGAGAGAGGAGGCCGGCCCCTTCCAGGGTGAGTCTTCACACGTGTGGGCACGTGGCCATGTGTCTGTGGGTGTGTACATGTGTGTGCATGTATGGGCGTGTTTGTATCTGTGTAGCACTGTGGGTACATCTCTGGGCACGAGTGTGTGCAAATCCGAGTGTGCGTGTGCAGTGAGGCGTATCTGTGAGGCTGGGTCGGCACCTCTTCCCTGTGAGTGCCTACAAACGTCAGCATGCATGTCCACCCTCAGGAATGACAGAAACACTCGTGGGCGCTGGCCAGGTGGACCACTCTAACCCCATTCTGTAGTCTCAACTCCTGCCACCACCTGAGTTTCTACCTTTCATCCTCTGTGAATGACAAAGAGCTTACAGATGACCCTACTGGAATTCGAGCACCTTTGGAAGGGGGTGTCACCTGGCTTCTCCTGGAGCATTTGGTGGGGACAGCTGCAGAGAAGAGGCAGCAATGCCAGGAGGCAGGCAGGGAACCAAAGCGAATGCTGCCCATCTCGCCACCCTGCCAGGCCCGTGTTACCATCATCACCAATAGCTGGTGGGCGGTGGGCCAGGGCTGGAGCAGAGTCTCCTGACCCGACCAGCCTGGCTGCCTTCCTAGCCCAGCCAAGGCCTCTGTCCGAAATGAGTGGCTCCAGGTTCCCAAAACACACCTCCATCACGTCTGCTGGGTATTGCTCCTTAATTGTCCCATCTGTGCAGGGTCTGTTGTCCCAGCTAGACTGTGAGCTCCTCCTCTGAGCCCTCCAACCCTTTCCCCACCCCATCCCGCCCTTACGACCGGCACAGTGGGCCTATCTTGGAAACACTCACCAGGCTTTGCCAGAAGGGTGGAATCTATCAACCGGAGCTTCCCAAGCCCAGCTGCAGGTCAGAACCAGCCAAGCGTCTGTGAGAAAGCACAGTGCTTGAGCCCACTCCAGAGGTTCTGCTTTAATTGGACTGGCATGTGGCCTGACATCATACGTATTTGAAAGCTCCTCAGGAGAACCCAAGGGTGGGAACGACTGGCCTACCACCTGCAGGTGCTTCCTCTGTGCCCTCGGGGGTGGGGCTGATGACTCAGAGAAGAAAAACCCTGAGAGCTTCCCCCTGAAGCTCCATGGTGCCCAGGCCTACTTCCCTCTGGTGGTCTTTGAATAGATCTATCCCCTGCCCTGGCTGCTTCACGATGGGGACCCTGTCATATGTTCACCTCCATATCCATAGAGTCTGAGGCAGAAAAGATACTTGACACATGCCAGCTGAACTGAACTGCACGCATGCAGCCCCTGAGTTTCTGGTCTGGAGAGAGGACCTGGTGACATAGACAGAGAATGCAAGGCGAGCACTGCCAGAGGGAGACTGCAACAGCCCGGGGCAGCCCTGAGAGGCTGGCTGGCCTTGGGCCAACAGCTTGCCTGAGTGAGATGCTGAGGTCCCTGGTCCTCCAGCGCAGGAGTGTGAGGTTGGTGTGTGTGTGTGTCATGTGAGTGCCTAGGGTGTGCCAGTCTGTGTGTATTGTGTTGCGTCAGGAGGTCTGCAAGGAATGAGTGCCTTTGTGTGTCCCTGGGAAACTTGTAGCTCTGTGTTTGTGAGTCAGCACCTATGTCAGTGTTGTTTGTGTTGTGATCTTTGTATGCCATTGGGTGTCAGCATCTTTGTGTTGATAGNCCCTGGGAAACTTGTAGCTCTGTGTTTGTGTCTGCCTGTGAGTCAGCACCTATGTCAGTGTTGTTTGTGTTGTGATCTTTGTATGCCATTGGGTGTCAGCATCTTTGTGTTGATAGATGGCCCATGAAGACCCCCAGCCCAGGGGAGACCAAGCTGGCTGGATCCAGTTCATCTCCCCAATGGCAGGCAGTCTTGCCCTCTGGTTAGGGTGACTGAGGCATTTTGTGGCCTTAAAACTGGGAGTCCAGGGTTAGCTCTCAGGGTGTTAGGGTCCCTCCACCCATCCCCTCCAGGTTGGTGTCTGGGGGAGAAAGGGACTCCTGGGGCCAGGTACTGGAGAGGGGGCGTCTCAGCTTAACTGGCCTGCCCCTGGGACTGTTGGACAGCCACCTGGGGTGCCAGGCTCAGCCTGCAAACCAAACCCCTGGTGCTGAGATGCTCCTCCCAACTTTGCCCTCTCTGGGACAGCCCTGGCACCTCTTTCCCATTCGTTCTCTCTCCCTGTGCTCCGGGAAAGCCCTTGGCTCAGGCCGTCAGTGCTGGGATGGGCCTTAGAGGCCCATACTCCTCATGGTGCAAATGAGGAGGGTGAAGGTCAGAGGGGGAGGGACTGGCCCCATGTCACACAGCTAGTTAGTGTGGAACTAGCCTAGGAAGCCAGGTACTATCACCCTGGGGTTGTCAGCCCACTGACCACTGCCCCAGGGCCTCCTACCAGGTAGCCATGAGGAGCCTGGGCAAACTGCCCTGTCTCCGGGTGCTGAACAGATGTCACAGATGTTACTGGGCCCTGTACTGGGAGAGGTACCATCTCCCTGTCTCAAATTCTGGCCTCTCACCCCAGGCCACACCCCTCCCCCCAGCTTAGGACTGGAGGCCACATAGAGGCTGCCTCCCTCTGCCCACACTAGCTTAGCTGCATCCCCTCCCCCCACTTCTCAGAAAGAAGAGACTCTGTTTCCCCTCCTCCCCTCTGTGTTCATACAAGCCTGGGCTGGGGATGCAGATTAGTGTGACCTGGGGTTGTCATCTTGTCGACTTCCCCCTACGGACCAGGAGGGCCTGGGAAGCAGGGACAAATCCTGGTGTTTTCTTCTCCCTGGACAAGTCAGGGGGGTTGGGGGGGCATTTCCAGGGTCTGTCCTCAGGCATAGGTGGGTGAACCTGCTCTGGAGAGAGTCCCTGTGGAGCCACTGGTTGAGGTTCTGGGTTTAGGGGGGCCCTTCCTACTTCCAAAGGCAGGGTAAGCTCCTCCTCTCTGTTAAGTCAGTGCTATGTGTGTATCTGAGTGTGTGTGTGTGTGTGTGTGTGTGTGTGTGTGTGTGTGTGTGTGTGTGAGGGTGTGCTGCTGGGGCAAAAGGACCACTCTTCCCTGGAGATCCCTTGATCCTTAGTGTTGAAAGGACCGTAGAGACCATTTAACCCAGTGTCCCCACTGTACAGGTGAGAAAGGGGAGGCCCAGAGAGATGGTACTTGCCCACCGTCACCCCATTTCCCTCATGTCAACTACATTCATTTCCCAGGAGCCTTACTGGAATTGCCCTCACTCCTGGCACCCCCAGTCGCCCCCATAATCACCATCTCAGCCTAATTCCTGGGCCCTTCTGCCTCAGTGGTCTCCAGCATCCTTCCCTTCCCAGGGTGGCCAGCTCACCAAAGCCTTCACCCCCAATCCAGGAGAAAGGACAGGGGAAGGAGGGGGCTGCTCCAGCCCTGAAGTCTAATGAACTTGGGAGAGAAACCCCCACCCCCCTGCCCAGGCCCACCCCCCACCAAGTCAAAGCACAACGGGAGACCCTCACTAACGGGTGAAAGGCACTGGGGTTGTTTCAGTCACACGACCCTGTCCTCAGCCCTTTGCCTTGCTCTCTGTCTCCACCCAGCCTCTGTTCCCCCTTTGTCTCTTTCACCTCAAGACCCCGATGTAACCTCTAGTTGCGGACGCGGTTGTTTCAATAAAGCTGCAGTGTTCTAGAGCTCGGGTCAGGCTGTGTGCTGTGGCTCATGGCGAGTAGCGGGCCCGGCGGGGACGGAGGGGTGAGGGGAGAGGCTGGGTTCCTCTCGGGCCACTGGGGGAAGCCCGTTTTCTCTTTGGCACCTGCTGTCATGAATCCTGTTCTGCCACCCAGACAATGGGGATCTGTGTCCTGGTCTCTAACCCAGTGAACTCAGATGTCCTCACTCATTTGTCCCTCTAACAAATGCTAGCCAAATGCTGTCCCCGTGGAAGCTCCTGGTTAGTGGGGGAGACGGACACTGAGCTAGTAACACACCAGGGAGTGTGTCATTAGGAATACAATTGGGGCAGTGAAGGAAGGTAAGAGGAGGTTCTCATTTGGGTTGAGGCTTCAGGGAAAACCTCTCTAAAGAAGAGACATTTAGGAGAGAAGTAAAGAATGACTGGAGTTAGGCTACTGGGGCAGAAGGCGTCTTCCAAGCAGAGGGAACAGAATATTTAAAGGCCTAGAGGGGTGAAAAAAAGCTTGTAGAAGCTTCAAGGAAAGGAAAACAGACAAGAGGGAGGAATAACGTTGGTCAGCCAGGCCAGGCCTGGGTGTACTGACTTCGCCCCTTCCCTTCCCAGCTCCCAAATCCACCAAACCCCTTCCATGCTCCTGCTCCTCACAGTCTATGTTCCTGTCCTGGGCCCATAAACCCCACTCCGCACTCTACCTGGGGCTACCTCCCTTACTCAGTGCCAGTGAGCTGCCCACTTGCCCCCAAATCCTATTGTGCCAACCTTTCCCTTTCCCCTGACCTCTCAGAATCCTAGAATCAGCTTACCAAGGCCAGGGGAGCTGGCAGTGATGAGGGGGCAGGCACCCTACTGGGAAGGTTTGTGGGGTGACCCCACATCACAGGCATGGGTACCATGACATGAACTACAGAGAGACCAGGCAAATGACAGGAAGAGAGTGTTTCATGTTACTCAGTTACAGTGGCTCAGGGAGGTAGAGCAAATAGTTTCATTTTCATGTTCATGAGGCTCAGAAAGGTGGCAAGACTAGGGGCTCCCTACCCCATCTCTATCTGCTCACACCTTGGGTAACTTCTTGCCATACCCAGGATTTCTCTTCTAGAGCTTGGGACGCACCACTGGGTTGGACTGGCTCGCTGGGTACAAGGAAGAGAGACCCACTCCAGCTCCTTCACGTACAGGAGCATCATTGTGAGGCTACATGTAGCAAGGGGCCAGCCACTCTCAGAAACCCAGACATAGGAGGTGTGACAGGGATGGGTTTCCAGAACCAGATGGGTAGCCTGGATTCAGGCAGCTTTAGGAGTTCATGGCTCCTCACCTGCGGCAGAGCGAAGCTGGCCACAAATTCCTTGCTATCCTTCCTACAGAGGGGGAGAGTAAAATTCCCTTCCCCTTGAATCTGGATCACTCGTAGTGGCTTGTTTGGCCGATAAGATGTGACATTCAGTGTTGAAGGGGCCTTGCAGTTTCAGCTCAGGCCTTTTCGAATATCCTCCCTGGGAACTCTGAGTCACCATGCTGGATGTCCAACTCCCCTAAGACTGACGTGCTGGGGAGGCCACAGGAGGGGCTCCAGCTGATCGGTCCAGCTGATCGGTCCAGCCACCCCTCCAAAGCACTGGCCGTGGGAATAAAGCCCCACCGGGTCCTCCCGCCCAGCTGTCCACCAGCTGCATCCCTCTGTAGGTGCCACCTGCCAGAGAAGAATCTCGTAGCAACACTCAGCCCAAATTCCTGACCCACGAAGTCATGGGATATAATCAAAATAACTTGTTTCAAGTCCCCGAGGTTGGGCCAGTTTGTTAGAAGAGCAATAGGCAACCATCCCGGCATGACTCAGCACTTTCCAGTGTCTGCCGCTTTCTGCCCACACAGTCCTCTCTCCACTCATGGTGTTGCTCCTTTGTGACCTCAGCTTTCCCGGGTCATGGCCTCTCCAGCCCCGACCTTCTCTCACAGCCTTCCAACCGCAGCTCTCAGCATGCACAGACTTGGCCTCGTTAGAAAAATGACCCCGGGACTGGCCCACTGTCTCATGCCCAGTCATACACATATCATTGGGCCACCTGTTGATTGGCTCCCCATCAGCTGGGTAGGAGGAAGGGGTCACGGATATAAAACACAGCTGCCTGGGGGCTGCTCTTCTAGAAAGGCTGTGGGTGGGCCCACTTCAGGGGGGCAGGGGGCTGGCAGGCACCATAAACATCCTTGGTTTTTCCCTTTTTCGCCCCTCTATGACCATCCATTCTCAGGGCCACAGTTGTGCAGTGTGTGCACAGTGAAAGTAACCCCGTCCCAGGGCAGGTCCCCATGTAAACCACACAGGTAGGTCAGGTAACTCAGGAACAGCAACTTGTGTCATTCACAATGACTCAGATGTTTTTTATTTTCACTTTTACAGATGCGGGAACTGAGGCTCAGAAAGGTATTGTGGTTACCCAAGCTCACAAAATCAGGGAGGGGAAGAGAGTTGGCTTCTGGTGCAGGGTTCTTTCAGCCAGGTCCCTCCTTTCCTTGCCCCCTTTAAGGAGCAGCTGGGTTTCTCAGCAACTCAGCCCCAGGGTCTGGAGAAGCAGGGCCTTTCCTGTGTGGCTCCCCCTTCAGATGGAAATTGTCCCCAGTCCTAATTTTCTATTTCTAGCTGCCGGACCTTTTTGCATATGGCCTTTGTGGAAAGTGACTGTAACACGTTTTTAGAAATAAGCTGAGTATAAATAAATCCAAGGAAAAAGTAGAAACTCTTCTCCCTAGGTCACCCTGACGCTGGCTGGAAGCATTCCTCCCAACTGCCTCTCAACAAACCCCTGCTCCCAAGTTCATCTGCCCTGGGCCTGCCGCCTTGCCAGTACCCAACGTGTCCCCCTGCTCTGAGGTCAGCTTGGCAGCCCCCCTGAATGCAAATCCTACCCCTGAAGCCATCATCCTGTCTCCTTAGCAGTTTGGGTCTTTAAAATATTTTGAGCTTCCCGTTCTCTCATCCCCATGAGGCCAGCCAAAGCTCGGCCGAGGGG